GGACTTCTTCGCATCGGCGTGGTCGAGGCGCCTGCCCGTGTATGCGGCGCCCTTCCCCGATCACGAGGCCGTCGGGGTCGATGTCTTTCAGCTAGACTGGTGGAGGTGGGGTTCCTGTACCTCTTTCCCCCGGTTCAGCTGTTGCTCCAAGACCTTAGAGATCTTAGTTGCTCCATGCTTAGAGATTTACCAGGGAAGAGTTGTCCTTCTGGCCCCTTGGTGGCCGGCCCAGCCTTGGTTTCAGGCTGCTTGCTGCTTGCTCGGTGTCCGAACACGAGGGTTTTCCCGCGGCTCCACCTCTTTCAGCAAATTGGTCCAGTGCGTCACATGGCTGGTTCGATCTTCTCCTCGAGTCTTCGTGTATGGTTTTTTGACTCGAGTCTATCATCATCTCTATGGTGGTTAGGTGGCTTCCTTGTTAGTGACTCTCCTGTGGGCTTCTTCTCGGCGGCAGTATGAAGTTTCCTGGTGGTCCTTCTGTTTCTTTTTGCGTCTTCGTGTTGGTTCGCTGTCGGTTAGGGTGGTTTTGTCCTTTCTCTCTTGGTTGTTTCAGGACCGTCATCTTATGCCTAACACTGTCGTCTATCGTGCGGTGCTGGTGGAGCCGCTTCAGCTTGCCTTCTGTATTGATGTTACGTCTGTACCGTTTCACAAGTTGTCTCGTGCTTTGTTTCACTTCTGGCCTGCTCATACGCCACCTGGGCCGTCCTGGTCTCGCTTACCTATCGTCTCCTCGTTTTGTCGTGGCCCCTTCAGTCCAGAATTGTTTCTCCATGGCTCTTTTCCTGTTGGCATTGGCCTCTGGGGGTCAGGTTGGGGAGCTTCATGTTCTCCTCCAGCGCAGGGGTTTCTGCTCTTTCCGTCGTGGCGATTGTTTTGTTCGCCTGCAGCTGTCTCCTTTTCTGGCGAAGAATGAGACTGCTGCATTCCGGAGGGGTCCGTGGGTGGTTGATGCTTGGTTGGTACAGCCAGGGGTGCATCATGCTTTGTGTCCGGTTGCGGCGCTTCGCCGTTATTTGCGCGCCACGGCTTTTGTGGCTAGGGACGCGCTTTGGGTTGATCCGGTTTCCCTTCTTCCCTGTTCGCGGGTTCGGGTCTCTTAGGTCGTCCGCAGGGTTATAAAATCCAGCCAGCCTGCAGTCTATTCCCGTGCCCATGACGTCCGTAAGTTTGCAGCTCTTGCTGCTGTATTTGGGAACATGTCTTGGTCTGATATTCAGGCGCGGGGTTTTTGGCTGTGGAACAGGGTCCTGGCTGCTCGTTACTTTGTGAATGTCCCTGGGCCCCATCGGGCCTGTGTTGCTGTGGGTCGGCGGTTGCAGCCAGTTGTCTCGACTTCGAGTTGAGGAGCAAGCAACGACCACCTCCCGGATTAGTCCCTCTTTTTCCCGTCTGTGGGTAGTTAGATCCGGGGAGCCGACAGGGCTTCTCCCCAGAAAACCAGCGCTGAATGTAATGAAAAGCCATTTTCTGGGTGAGTCCCGGAGGCTCCCCGGCATCCCTCCTTCCCTCCAGTTGGCTTTTTTTTTCATGTTTTTGACATCCAGCCTCAAGAACTGAGGTATGGGTAGCCGGCGTGAAGCTCCCCTTCCCCCCTTCCCGGGAAGGGGGGAGCTGGGCAGACAGCGGCGTGGCGACGTGTGACGTCATACTAGTTTGCTCATTTTCTGTTGGGGAGTTCTATCCACTAGTTCGGGTTTTGGTAGCAATTTTCACCAGAATAGGGGTTTGTTTTGGGGCGCTTACCTTTCTGGGTGCCTGATCCGGTCGCTGGCCGACATAGAATGCTTCCAACCACACGGAGGTTTCTATAGGCCATTGCTCCCCATGCCTCTCTGAGGGGGCCCGGTTCTGGCCGTGGTCCCCGGTAGGACTAAGAACTCCATACACACGACTGATGCCAAAGTCTGACATTAGCATATCAGCCTGGGATAGCTCCGGGAAGCCTCCGGGACTCACCCAGAAAATGGTGTTTCATTACATTCAACGCTGGTTTTTACCACTGCAATGTATTGTAATATATATTGCTTATTATCGCATGGGTATTAACACGCTATATGTATTTTAATACCCATCTCTCTGATAACTAAGGTAACTAGAGCTTGTGCATATATAGTCCAACATTTGTTGCATACTTATATGTAGCTCTGCTAAACACAAGTAGCCAAAATCGGCAATACAAAATGAGCAACTAGTAAGGGTCTGTTATACTTGTCTGGATGGTCATGATCTTGGCCGCTCCTCCTTATGAAGGACTATGTTATGTACTCATCATTCTGGATGGTCATGATCTTGGCCGCTCCTCCTTATGAAGGACTATGTTATGTACTCATCATTCTGGATGGTCATGATCTTGGCCGCTCCTCCTTATGAAGGACTATGTTATGTACTCATCATTCTGGATGGTCATGATCTTGGCCGCTCCTCCTTATGAAGGACTATGTTATGTACTCATCATTCTGGATGGTCATGATCTTGGCCGCTCCTCCTTATGAAGGACTATGTTATGTACTCATCATTCTGGATGGTCATGATCTTGGCCGCTCCTCCTTATGAAGGACTATGTTATGTACTCATCATTCTGGATGGTCATGATCTTGGCCGCTCCTCCTTATGAAGGACTATGTTATGTACTCATCATTCTGGATGGTCATGATCTTGGCCGCTCCTCCTTATGAAGGACTATGTTATGTACTCATCATTCTGGATGGTCATGATCTTGGCCGCTCCTCCTTATGAAGGACTATGTTATGTACTCATCATTCTGGATGGTCATGATCTTGGCCGCTCCTCCTTATGAAGGACTATGTTATGTACTCATCATTCTGGATGGTCATGATCTTGGCCGCTCCTCCTTATGAAGGACTATGTTATGTACTCATCATTCTGGATGGTCATGATCTTGGCCGCTCCTCCTTATGAAGGACTATGTTATGTACTCATCATTCTGGATGGTCATGATCTTGGCCGCTCCTCCTTATGAAGGACTATGTTATGTACTCATCATTCTGGATGGTCATGATCTTGGCCGCTCCTCCTTATGAAGGACTATGTTATGTACTCATCATTCTGGATGGTCATGATCTTGGCCGCTCCTCCTTATGAAGGACTATGTTATGTACTCATCATTCTGGATGGTCATGATCTTGGCCGCTCCTCCTTATGAAGGACTATGTTATGTACTCATCATTCTGGATGGTCATGATCTTGGCCGCTCCTCCTTATGAAGGACTATGTTATGTACTCATCATTCTGGATGGTCATGATCTTGGCCGCTCCTCCTTATGAAGGACTATGTTATGTACTCATCATTCTGGATGGTCATGATCTTGGCCGCTCCTCCTTATGAAGGACTATGTTATGTACTCATCATTCTGGATGGTCATGATCTTGGCCGCTCCTCCTTATGAAGGACTATGTTATGTACTCATCATTCTGGATGGTCATGATCTTGGCCGCTCCTCCTTATGAAGGACTATGTTATGTACTCATCATTCTGGATGGTCATGATCTTGGCCGCTCCTCCTTATGAAGGACTATGTTATGTACTCATCATTCTGGATGGTCATGATCTTGGCCGCTCCTCCTTATGAAGGACTATGTTATGTACTCATCATTCTGGATGGTCATGATCTTGGCCGCTCCTCCTTATGAAGGACTATGTTATGTACTCATCATTCTGGATGGTCATGATCTTGGCCGCTCCTCCTTATGAAGGACTATGTTATGTACTCATCATTCTGGATGGTCATGATCTTGGCCGCTCCTCCTTATGAAGGACTATGTTATGTACTCATCATTCTGGATGGTCATGATCTTGGCCGCTCCTCCTTATGAAGGACTATGTTATGTACTCATCATTCTGGATGGTCATGATCTTGGCCGCTCCTCCTTATGAAGGACTATGTTATGTACTCATCATTCTGGATGGTCATGATCTTGGCCGCTCCTCCTTATGAAGGACTATGTTATGTACTCATCATTCTGGATGGTCATGATCTTGGCCGCTCCTCCTTATGAAGGACTATGTTATGTACTCATCATTCTGGATGGTCATGATCTTGGCCGCTCCTCCTTATGAAGGACTATGTTATGTACTCATCATTCTGGATGGTCATGATCTTGGCCGCTCCTCCTTATGAAGGACTATGTTATGTACTCATCATTCTGGATGGTCATGATCTTGGCCGCTCCTCCTTATGAAGGACTATGTTATGTACTCATCATTCTGGATGGTCATGATCTTGGCCGCTCCTCCTTATGAAGGACTATGTTATGTACTCATCATTCTGGATGGTCATGATCTTGGCCGCTCCTCCTTATGAAGGACTATGTTATGTACTCATCATTCTGGATGGTCATGATCTTGGCCGCTCCTCCTTATGAAGGACTATGTTATGTACTCATCATTCTGGATGGTCATGATCTTGGCCGCTCCTCCTTATGAAGGACTATGTTATGTACTCATCATTCTGGATGGTCATGATCTTGGCCGCTCCTCCTTATGAAGGACTATGTTATGTACTCATCATTCTGGATGGTCATGATCTTGGCCGCTCCTCCTTATGAAGGACTATGTTATGTACTCATCATTCTGGATGGTCATGATCTTGGCCGCTCCTCCTTATGAAGGACTATGTTATGTACTCATCATTCTGGATGGTCATGATCTTGGCCGCTCCTCCTTATGAAGGACTATGTTATGTACTCATCATTCAAATAATTTGTTGTACTCTACTGTTATAAAAGAATAAAGATTACAAGTCATTTAAATTGTATTATTAGTTACATAATGTTAATTATAAATTACAATATAAACTGCAGTACAGTAATCAATTAATTTAGGAATATAGTTGAATTGTGAATGAGATTGCAGAGTGATGGCTTAACAAACAATTAAGTTGAATTTGCAATGAGCTTTCAAGTTGCTGTAAAAACTGCATGGTGAAGTAAAGAAATTCAGATGTTCACTAATATTTAAAATTTTCCTTAATTTACAGATACCTGAAAGTGGAGGACATGCTATGTCAGGCTTACATAAGCCTCTACACGGAAGATTTTGTGACATGATACGCCACAAATTGACAGCGTACAATAGATTTTTCTCATTAGTCATGAGTAATAAAACTTTCAGGGTCTACAGAGTTGCTACCACTTAGATGTAATTTACTAAACAATTCATGTCCCGGTAGTACAGTCGGGGTTCATTCTCAACTCTCAATCGGGAAATCTGGGTTCGAATCCCAGGCAGACAGAAATATTGGGCATGTTTCCTATCACCTAATGCTCCTCTTTCCCTACCAGTAAATAGGTACTCAGGAGTTAGCTTGTTGTGTGATTGCATCCTTGGAAGATCAGTAATTTGACCCTTGGGGGGACCTCGATAAAAGACTATGATGTATATGTACACTGACTGTCTGGCCCTCGACACGATGAATTATAAATGATAATTAATTAGTTTGTTGGAGTTTACATAAACCCTTAACCTGCACAACCCCTTTTTTTAAGTTGTCTTCTTGCTGCACACAAAAGAAAAAATTGCAAAACAATTTCCCCATTTTATATTGTGAAACATTTATTTCTGATGTTGGAAAAATTCCAAAAAATCTAATAATTTTAATGTGTCCATTATGACATAAAGAAATTTTGAAAATGTAAAATTTCAAGAATTAATTTTTAATTAAACTATTTGTAATAGATTTCTCCTTAATACAAATATCTTCCTGGTCCATAAAAAGTCTTGAAATTTTGCATGGTCGCTGTTTATGAATGGTTATTACACAGGCATGAATGGTTATAGCAAAGATGTCAGGCAACAGGAGCATTGTGGGTCTATCATTTGAGAGTGACAGGAGCATCATGGGTCTATCAGCTGAGGGCAACAGGATCATCAGGGGTCTTTCATCTGAGGGCAACAGGAGCATCGTGGGTCTATCATCTGAGGGAGACAGGAGCATCGGGGATCTATCATCTGAGGGCAACAGGAGCATCAGCGGTCAACCATCTAAGGGTGACAGGAACATTATGGGTCTACCGTCTGAGGGCGACAGGAGCATCGGGGGGTCTATCATCTAAGGGCGACAGAAGCATTGTAGATCTATCATCTTAGAGCGACAGGGGCATATGGGATCTATCAGCTGAAGGAGACAAGAGCATTGGGGGTCTATCAGCTCAGGGAGTCAGGAGCATATGGGATGTATCAGCTGAGGGCAACAGGAGCTTCAGGAGTCAACCATCTGTGGGCAAAACGAGCATCAGGGGGCCAATCAACTTAGGGCATCAGGAGCATCGGGGGTCTATCATCTGATGGCGACAGGAGCAGCGTGGGTCTATCACCTTAGGGCGAGAGGAACATCGGGAGTCTATCATCTGAGAGCGACAGGAGAATTGCGGTTCTATCATCTGAGGGCGACAGGAGCATCGGGGGTCTATCATCTAAGGGCGACAGGAGCATCGTGGATTTATCATCTGATGGCGACAGGAGCATCATGGGTCTATCATCTTAAGGTGTCAGGAGTTTCGTGGGTCAATCATCTTAGGGCAAAAGGAGCATCGTGGGTCTACCATCTGAAGGCGACAGGAGCATCGTGGGTCTATCAGCTAATAGCAACATGAGCATCATGGGTCTATCATCTGAGAGAGAGAGGAGCATCGGGGTCTATCATCTAAGGGCGAAAGGAGCATCGTGGTTCTATCATCGGAGGGAGACAGGAGCATCATGATTCTATCATCTGAGGGAGACAGGAGCATCGTGGTTCTGTCATCTTATGGCGACAGGAGCATCGTAGTCTACCTGATGGCGACAGGAGCATCGTGGGTCTATCAGCTGATGGCGACTGGAGCATTGTGGGTCTATCATCTTAGGAAGACAGGAGCATCGTGCGTCAATAATCTGTTGGCGTCAGCAGCATCGTGGGTCTATCATCTTAGGAAGACAGGAGCATCGTGGGTCAATCATCTGATGGCTACAGGAGCATCGTGGTTCTATCATCTGAAGGAGACAGGACCATCGTGGTTCTATCATCTGAAGGAGACAGGACCATCGTGGTTCTATCATCTGAGGCAGACAGGAGCATCATGGTTCTATCATCTGAGGGAAACAGGAGCAGCGTGGTTCTATCCTCTGAGGGAAACAGGAGCATCGTGGTTCTATCATCTGAGGGCGACAGAAGCATAGCGGTTCTATCATCTGAGGGCGACAGGAGCATCGTGGGTCTATCATCTGAGGGAGACAGGAGCATCGTGGTTCTATCATCTGAAGGCGACAGGAGCATCATGGTTCTATCATCTGAGAGCGACAGGTTCTTCGTGGTACTATTATCTGTGAGAGACAGAAGCGTCGTGATTCTATCATCTGAGGGCGACAGGACCATCGTGGTTCTATCATCTTAGGGAGACAGGAGCATTGTGGTTCTATCATCTGAGGGCGACAGAAGCATCGTGGTTCTATCATCTGAGGGAGACAGGAGGATCATGTTATATTCATCTGAAAGAGACAGGAGCATCGTGGTTCTATCATCTGATGGAAACAGGAGCATCGTGGTTCAATCGTCTTAGGACGACAGGAGCATCGTTGGTCTATCATCTGATGGCGACATTAGATTTGTGGGTCTATTATCTGAGGAACACTGGAGCATCGTGTTTCTATCATCTTAAGGTAAAAGGAGCATTGTGGTTCTATCATCTTAAGGCAAAAGGAGCTTCGTGGTTCTATCATCTTTGGACAGTATTGGCATCATGAGTCAATCATCTAAGGGAGACAGGAGCACTATTATCTGAGAGAGACTGGACCATCGTGGTTCTATCATCTGAGGGAGACAGGAGCATTGCAGGTCAATCATCTCAGGGCGACCGAAGTATCGTGGATCTATCATCTGAAGGAGACAGGACCATCGTGGTTCTATCATCTGAGGGAGACATGAGCATCGTGGTTCTATCATTTGACATCGACATTGAGGATCGTGGGTCAATCAGCTGATGGCGACAAGAGCATCGTGGTTCTATCATCTGTGGGCGACAGGAGCATCATGGTTCTATTATCTGAGAGAGACAGAAGCATCGTGGTTCTATCATCTGAGGGCGACAGAAGCATCGTGGTTCTATCATCTGAGGGAGACAGGAGGATCGTGTTATATTCATCTGAAAGAGACAGGAGCATTGTGGTTCTATCATCTGATGGAAACAGGAGCATCGTGGTTCTATCGTCTTAGGACGACAGGAGCATCGTTGGTCTATCATCGTAGAGCGACAGGAGCATCGTGAGTCTATCATCTTCGTGAGACAGGAGCATCGTTGGTCTATCATCGTAGAGCGACAGGAGCATCGTGGGTCTATCATCTTCGTGAGACAGGAGCATCGTTGGTCTATCATGTTAGGGCGACAGGAGAATCTTGGGTCTATCAGCTGATGGTGACAGGAGCATCGTGGTTCTATCAGCTGATACAGACAGAAGCATCGTCGTTCTATGCAGGCGATAAGTCACAGTGACGTGGCTAAAGTATGTTAACCAGACCACACACTAGAAGGTAAAGGGACGACGAAGGTTTAGGTCCGTCCTGGACCATTCTCATGTCATTGTCGACTTGAGAATCTATTATCTGACTGAGACAGGAGCATCGTGGTTATATCATCTGATGGCGAGAGGAGCATCGTGGGTCTATCATCTGAGGGCGACTGGAGCATCGTGGTTCAATCATCTGAGAGCGACAGGAGCATCGTGGTTCAATCATCTTAGGGCGACAGGAACATCGTGGTTCTATCATCTGATAGTGACACGAGGATCAGGGGTCTATCAGCTGATATCGACTTGACCATAGTGGGTCTATCATTTGAAGGCGACAAGAGCATCAGGGGCCTATCATGTGATGGCGACAGGAGCATCGTGGTTCCATCATCTTAGGGCGAAAGGAGCATCGAGAGTCTATCGTCTGAGGGCGACATAAGCATCGTGGGTCTATCATCTTAAGGCGACATGAGCCTCGTGCGTCTATCATCTGATGGCGACATGAGCATCGTTGGTCTATCATCTTAGGGAGACAGGAGCATCGTGGGTCTATCATCTGATGGCGTCTGAAGCATCGTGGTTCTGTCAACTGAGGGCGACAGAAGCATCGTTGGTCTATTATTTGAGGGAGACAGTAGCAACGTGGTTCTATAATCTGAGGGCTGCAGGAGCTTCGTGGTTCTATCATATTAGGGCGACTGGAGCATCGTGCGTCTATCATGTGTGGGCGACAGGAGCATCGTGAGTCTATCAGGTTAGGGCGACAGGAGCATCGTGGTTCTATCATCTGAGGGAGATAGGAGCATCGTGGTTCTATCATCTTAGGGCAACAGGAGCATCATGGTTCTATGATCTGAGGGAGACAGGAGCATCGTGGTTCTATCATCTGCAGGAGGTAGGAGCATCGTGGTTCTATCATCTGAGGGAGACAGGAGCATCGTGGGTCTATCATCTGAGGAAGACAGGAGCATCGAGGGTCAATCATCTGATGGCTACAGGAGCATCGTGGTTCTATCATCTTAGGGCGACAGGAGCATCGTGGTTCTATCATTTGACGTCGACATTGAGGATCGTGGGCCAATCAGCTGATGGCCACAGGAGCATCATGGTTCAATCATCTGAGGGAGACAAAAGCATCGTAGTTCTATCATCTGAGGGCGACAGAAGCATCGTGGGTTTATCATCTGAAGGAGACAGGACCATCGTGGTTCTATCATCTGAAGCAGACAGGAGCATCGTGGTTCTATCATGTGAGGGAGACAGGAGGACCGTGTTATTTTCATCTGAAGGAGACAGGAGCATCGTGGTTCTATCATCTGAGGGAAACAGGAGCATCGTGGTTCTATCATCTTAGGTCGTCAGGAGCATTGTGTGTCAATCACCTGATGGCGACAGGAGCATCATGGTTCTATAATCAGAGGGAAACAGGAGCATCGTGGTTCCAAGCAAGCAAACCAAACCAAGCAAGTGGACCAAACTCTCACAAGTCAAGCCTGGCCTCGGGCCGGGCTTTGGGAGTAGAAGAACTCCCAGAACCCCATCAACCAGGTACCAGGTAACCAGATTCTATCATCTTAGGGCGACAGGAGAATTGTGTGTCAATCATCTAACAAAGACAGTAGCATCATGGTTCTATCATTTGAAGGAGACAGGAGAATCGTAGTTCTATCATCTGAGGGCGACAGGAGCATCATGGTTCTATCACATAAGGGAGACAGGAGCATCGTTGTTCTATCATCCGTGGTCGACAAGAGCATCGTGATTCTATCATCTGAGGGAGACAGGTGCATCGTGGTTCTATCATCTGAGGGCGACAGAAGCATTGTGGTTCTATCATCTGAGGGAGACAGGAGCGTCGTGGTTCTATCATTTGAAGGAGACAGGAGCATCGTGGTTCTATCATCTCTGGGCAGCAGGATACTCATTGTTCTATCATCGTAGAGCGACAGGAGCAT